TCAATATAAGATAATAAGAAATATAATGCATATACAAAATGAGGAAGCGAACTAATGCTTGAGCTCTATTGTCTTGATATATACTTAGATTTTTAAGGTCATCTCTTAACTAATCAACATAGGTAAACAAATAAATTCCTCAAATAAAAAAATAAACGAAAGTTCTGGTAGCAGGAAAGCGAAGCTAAAAAAAGCAAACGGGGATAAATAGGCTAGCTGAACACCATTATATTAATGATAGATAGGCTACAAGATGCTCACTAAGCACAGCTGTTCCAAATGAAAAACGATAGAAAATCTGTAATATGTGATTTTTGGGCCTCTTCTAGGATCTATCTATTGTCACTTCGGCTGGACCAATTCCGTATTAGAAAACGTGAGATCGGACTTCATATTTCTGACTCTGATGGGCTACACTTCGGAAGTCACCTCATGGATCGTAAAGGTGAGGTTCAAGTGGGATGATTGCGTCCATGTGGTTCGGCTTACTTAGTATGTTTGTCTAAAAGGGTTTTAATGAAAATCAGAAAAATGAAGGACCTTTAAAAGACTTTGTACACAGCTCATAACGTTGTGACAGGTCAGTTCACATGGACTCATTTTACCTCACTGCAGAATATTCAGTTTCACTGATACTTCCGAAACTAGTAGAGGACTAGTTCAGTGATATCCAACCTTGTAAACTTCATTATAACGAGTGCATATCGAACAATGTTAAGTACTATCACAAGGTTAAGGAATATGGAAAGTAGCGTCCTACCAGGCTATCCTTTTTCCATGGCAAAGGCATAAACAAGCAAAATCTGTCTCTTCTGAACTCGTATGAGTGATTATAAAGAATGTTTCTGATGACCAACTATTTTAATACTTAGTAATTAGTTAGCCTTTACATAAATTCGGACAGTGCTGGAAGTTTATTGTTTGCAATAAGTCAGATCTTTCCTGTTTCTCCTTTTGAAGTTTACAGTTACTATCCTGTCCTCATCGTTATGGGAGTTGTTGGACCTTTAAGTTATCATTAATTTATTCTCAAATAACATTAGGTTACATGATGTATGACAGTTTACAGACAAGATCAAATTGTTACAGATCATACAAGCTTCTCTGTAATAATTTACTCAGTTAGGCTGATTATTGGGTTACGACGAGTCAGAAAATACAATGATACCACTTCCACGTAAGATCTCATAGATTAGGTAGTCACGTCATGACAGATCTACAATTTTGGAAATAGGTCTATTATAGTGATAACAAAGATAAGTGTACTAATACCAAACTAGACCACAATTCAATAAAGTAATATTCTCTGTTCACTGTTTTACGATTATAGGTGAATGTTGTCATATCGAGGTAACTTTTCTTCCAGTTAGTATTTCAGTTTCCACACCAATATCCTAGAAGTTGGGTAGATGTTTCTTCGACCTCCTTATGTGTGTGATGAAAGTCATTGAAGATTTCTGCCTTTACTGGGTTGGCAAAATGCTATTAGACTCTTACAGAAAAATTCTCTTGTCTTGTTGCTTTTGGTTGAGAAAAGAACATTTACATACACTTCTGAATAGTTTGGATTTCATCGATTAACTTGGTTCGCACATACCTCTCGTCTCTTCGTAACCTAGTGTTGCAATTAATCTTTAGCTCCAGCTAAGGGCTGCGATCGGGATGCATTCCTGTAAATTTCAGTTTATCAGACTCTCTTTTTAGCCCAAAGTAAGCATCTCATCAGCTAAGCTTTCTTTCCAGGTGAATTTTATGTTTAGGAATCGTTATTCAAAATAAATTCCTGAAAAATAAACCTCAATATCTCACAGTGGTTATCTGTTACTGCCTTCTACCACTGTTGTAGGTACAGAGAGTTTTGTAGATAATCCTCAATAGCTGTACAATTTCCGAGATGTAGTAACGGTTATGGGCATCTGCAATGATTATGTAATAATGCTAAACCACGACACAAATCATTTATACTGGTCTTTAAGAATTGCATTAGGCTTTTAATACATGATAAATAAGGAATGATGGTCAATTAAAGCCAACTAATGTCAAATTTTCACGCTTTGTTCATACAAATATGATCGCTCGATAACGATGCGACTTCAACCCAAGGTCGTATAGATTATGGAGCTGTATCGTGGTAAGTTCGTAATATTATTCCATTAGTGTGGATAACTGTAGTGATATTGACTTATATATAAATCGAACAATTTTTGTCCATCTGAAATCACTGTGAATATGGCTGTGCCTTGATCAATAATACATATTGGTGTTTGGATGTTTATTTGTGTGCTTGGTGAAGTACCGTCCATTTTCAAACTTGAGCAGTCGATATGTCCGACGGCATAAGTTTAAAGTCACTCTCTGGTTAAAATTACTTCCCTTTAGTTCACGCGACCTTGAGGAGACAAAGTGACATCAAGAATTCTGTGTTTGGATATCCTGAAGTGATGCGATAGATTTTATACTGCCTTGCTGTTCTAGTATACGCATATTACTACCCTCTGGATAATTTGCAAAACAATTCTGCTGATGGACCACTTTTTTATATTCTATACCTGGCAAAAAATTCTACGTTGTTATTGTGTCTCCGACTTATAACGAATGATAGTATGATTGCAATAGCTAGTTTCACCACAGTTTTTGCAGTCTTATATGTTCTTTTCAACTGCGATCGATAGAAGGTCTATGGGATCAATAAAATATCATTGGCCGTAGCCAAACCATTCGGCAGTTGGGTCAGTGAATACCGAACAGACTACTGACGTTCGTCAGGGTTAAGCTCACCTGATGCGCATCAATTCATTACACACTGCGGACGGGCGCGTGTGACAGTGGTTACACTCTGGTACTTATACTTATTCTTGTCAATACATTTATGTAATGCCGTTATGTTCGTCCTATGCAGTCATTAAATTTGCCACAGTGCCTGGATATAAAGAAATGGTAATCCACCTTGCATGCTGACGACACGGCGTGACTTTGATGTAGGCTATGAGGGCATATAAATCCCATAGAACTCTCATTGGTCTCTAATCACTGACACAGATCACCTACGTTGATGACCCACTGTTTCTTCAGTTTTGTAGATTTAAAAATTACCGACAAGTAAATCAGTAATCTCATGTACTGTTAGCTGCTGTAATGTAGAGTATTCCGTTGATCCGGTATGTGATTTTATTTGCGCTGAAAAAATACTAAGATGATCCTGTGAACTCGGTTATTTTGTGGAGAACCAAAAACTGATAATGCCGAAATTGTAACAAGTTATGAGATGAAGTGTAGAGTTAGTTAACTGTATACGAAAATATGAATGCGCCGATAAAAAGTTGGATACTATTTTTCGCTGGTAAATGCAACATGTTCAGCTAAGTCACTAGGTTTGCAGTAATGTGTTATCACCAGTCCTAAATAGAGCATGTAGCCTAAAGTAATATTTCAGATATGATCCAATGGTGGGTGAACAAATACGTAAATGTACACTGTATTCATATTAATGACTCATATGTGTGACAGGTGGTTGTATTAGAACAAGAAGAACCTCGACAGCAGTGTTTGCGAGTGGTCATCAATATGTTATGCAAGCAAATAAAAAACCCGGAAAATCCAGAGTCAAACTTGTACAACTATCTCGTAGTCCGTAACAATGATTATACAAATTAGTTGGAATCATGAAAAATATGAGTAACGAACAAAATTTTCGATAAGTTTATATTAATCAGCATTAAAGGTTATGTGTTGGGCTGGGTCGTAGCATCCAAGCGGCTGTCATTGGATAATTCCATTTCACAACTTGTTTATGCCTGTTATCACATCCAAATAGTTACATTCCTTGAGTTATGACCTCAACATCCATGAGCTAGACTTCAGTTAGAACTGAAAAAAAGTTCCTGAGCTCTGATAATTTGCCTTTAATTTTTCTTACGTTGCTGAAGTCACCTAACCGCGTTTCAGCTAACGTAGTATTACTTTATCATGGCATTTGTTTGTGTGGTTGTCGACAGATTGGTGTACAAAACAGAGTAGATTCTTTGAATCAAGAATATTAGTGTAACTTTCAACCTCCGGCAGGCTCGCCAAATACGCAGTGGTTTTTGTCTAACCTGAAGGAATGTTGGGTGCTGAATGAGAGTATGCAGAAACGTGAGCAAGTATGACTAGAAAGAAGAGAGAGAAAAAGTGAGCCAATGACTAAATAGGCACACCTGGTACACTTGAATTTAGGAATAAAAGCAAACGACTATGATTATAAATAACCTATGAGAACGATCAGGACATTTCGATCGGCGAAATCAGGAGTTGGTGGTGTAGATCACCAACGTAGATGACATTTCGCTGGCCCTACAGTGGCATACAGTTCTAGATGCATTATCTGGCCTTGCTGATGGAATTGCATTGTCGTCAGTGCTTGCTCTATATTGGCATGCCGTTGTTGAGACAACTGTGTCCAGCTGGTGAGTTAAATGAAGTTGGACGGTCGCGATGTGATGAACATCATTATGTACGACTTGTGAGTTACAGAGAATGAGGGTTGCTGTATAGTCCGTGTGTCTGAATATGAGTAAGCAGGATCCCATCTCAACCAAATGTAGCACATACTAGAGTCGTTCACTGTAGTACAGAATGGATTTGAAACCCAACACAATCCTCAAGCAGTCAATAGTTGGGAAGAGAGAATACGGAATTTCAGCCAATGGGTTATATTTTCAAATATCAAGTAACGTGGTGATGGGTTACAAAAGTAAAGTTTTCACAAAATACAGTTTCACATTTCGTTTCGTAGGTTTCATGGACATCTTGCTTCTTTTCCTCCAGCCCATCCGAACTTTGTTAGACTGAGAAAAAACAGGTCTTCGTTAACAACATATACATCATGGTATTAACGGTGTCATTGGGCTTCACGCTAAGTGCGCGGCCCAATAGCAAAAAAAGTATCATTAAATACAAACATTTGCATAAGAGCGAAATGAAGTTAATCTGCTAGTGAAAATATTCATTGATTGATTGAGGTTTTGAATGCGTTACACATAGGCAAACTAAAAGTAGCTCCTTTGAAATAAACCAATAGAGGAGAGGCTGTGTACATAGTTATTAGCGGTAATTATGAGGATTTTAACTTGAACAAGTTGAAAGGCATTTGTCTTGCTACTTTATTTCGCAAGTTTTTTTTAAAAGTAGCGGGATATTTCCAGGGAACAAATGCTCAAATGCACTATTTAAGATCTTGTAAATAGTTCAATTGCTTGTAATATAATTTGAAGACTGAGTGACGTTACATTTTCCTCAGAATTTCTCCCAAATTTTCATTAGAACTTCTTCAAAGTTTGAAAAGTGGAGCCAATATAACCTTAAGGTTACTGTATCGACAAGTGATACTTGGTATTATTTTGCAATCATATATGATTTGTAATTATATATAATTACAAAACAATTATAATATACCTACAATATGCACGTGAGTAAAAGTCTATAAGGTGTCCTCAGGTTTTTTGGCATTTGTAAAAGGCTTTGTGGCATACATATGTTCTAAAATGTCTATAGGATTTGGGGAAACCTTATGAGCTCTGAGGAACTTGTTTACATTTTAAAGGAAGACTACAGATGAATAGTCTTTGCCACATCAAACCTTCTAGACTTCTTGAAATAGTTCCCGTGCAATTAGATGTAACTGACTGCATTGATTACCGAAAACATCTACAAACTACTTGCTAGTCGTATTAGTGTTTTCGTACTTTCTTATTACTGACATTCTTTACGTTACTTAAGATGATTATAAATGGTGTTATAATATCCACAAATCAAATTGCAGTTCACAAGCGAATTACTCTAGTAATAGCGCTCGGTTTTAAATTTTTACGGTTTTCAGTTATGCTTATACATAGCTGCATATCCATTCATCACCATTTACCACTTGAATGTTTTTGTTTTTCACCTGAATTTAAAGTCTAATAAATCTTATGTCAAGAAATTTAAGAGCTGCAACCAACTATTCACGTTTTACTGAGCGTCTTGCACCAGCGAATAATGAGCGAAACACAATTCCTGAATTCCGCTATTGAAACAGATTCTAACTTCAAATCTCCCCATTTAAGCACAAGTTGCTCCCATTTGCCCGTCAAATTCACTATCTATGAACCGGACGCAGAAGACTCAGATGATTCCCATCGCCTAGCTCAAGTATCTATATCGAATAATATGGTTGATACGAAAGCTATTGGCGACCCGTTCGACGATAATGAAGGTAAACGCTCGGTTATGTCAAGTGTCCTTGGACCTTATGTTCTCAAAAACACTCTAAGCAATTCATTCGCCTCCATACCCAATCACATAAGATCTGGAGAATATAAAGTAAGTAGAGCATTTTTCTTCAACATTTGAAATTGTGATTATTTATGCTATTCATTGTAATGACATAAGGATTGTAAATTTATAAACCAAGAGGTGTTATTTCTGCACGCCGTGTAGTAATGAAAGTCGTTAGATTTTTCGTCATCAGGTTTCAGTTTCGGACCCTGCTTCACTCGTTTTTAATGGGTAGTTCCGTTGAGTTTTATAAAATTATTATGGCTTGAAGACTTATACAAACCAATGGGCTGTATTAGTTCCATTTGTCCAGTATAATTTACGTAGATGATAGGATTAGTAGCGTTGGCAAGTGGCTGCATTAATTTGGAAACTCTAGAATGCAAATGATCGAATTCACTAAGATTATGCAGGGAAGTAAAATCCATGTTTTGCAATCCAGTTTACTTCATGAGAGGATATCCTGATATTTATTGTGCTGTTGTGAGTGTGTAGATAGTTTTCACCATAGTGTCAGCATACTCTATTTCTTTCCTTTCTAAACATTATTGGATTCCAGTATAAATTAAGAATGCATGCTGGAAAATTAACATAACCAGAAGGTAATTGCTTCACATTCTCTCTTTATTTTAGACATCATTTCATTTATTATGAATTGTATTTCTATTTAGAATTTTATGTAATTTAGGATATCACTCGTTTAATTTTCCAACGTTCGCCGTTACTAAGTGAAATAATTTTTTTTTCACAAGAAACTATCCACATCCAAGTTTTGCGTGCCCTGCTTTTTTCATACTTTTAAGTTTCAATACATTCTAGCAGGCATGACCTAAACTGTGATTGAGTTCAGCCAATATGTTTATCATTTACATATAAAATATTACTTAACTCTGATACATCCCGACCGTTGTTGCTACCTTGACGTTTTGTCCGATGATTTGGTACATATTAATTCAAGCATCCCGAACATACATTTTGGTTGATAGCACTCAAAAATCCATGTTTTTTTGCCTCTTACACATTATCAGCAAACAGTTATCCGACGTATGATGTTCGTCTATATCTACAACTTCTGAATTATCAACTAAGTTTAAAAATATGTCGCAGAAGTCATCTACTTCTTTATGTCATTGTTACATAGTTTATTAGCGGCACATGACTAAGTCGTGTCTCATACTTCACCTCTGATGAGCAAGATCTGGGTTTTTCCATGCAATTCATTATACGTTGCGTATAGATGTAAATTTTCGAGCTGTATTGGACTAATTGGGATAGTGATTAAACTGCTTAAATGCTAAAAACTCGAAGCTAAAGTTTACAATTTTTGTCATGATAACACATTGAGTTTCATTCAGGCATACTGCTCAGTCAGTTCAATTTACTACTAGTGTTACCATTAATATTCCAGTCTGACAGTAGTATACTTTAATTCGAACCAGCAGTTATAGGCTTTTAGGCGTGTTATGATTCCCCTTATTACGGCCGACCTACTCTTATTGCTTAGTACTCTTAGACACCATTTCACTCGACAAGTTCCCAAATCAGAACATGGTTAAGCAGGAACGTAGTTATATTCCAAATAACGAGGTTGAATGGGAGTAGAATCACAGTAAGTAAAGCGTTAGTATATTTATGGTTTTTAACATGATAACATTTTAGAATATTCTCCAAGTATAAGTATTGCATATCTCTGGCTAAGAAGTGATGAGTTAGCGTTGTCGAACACAATCCTACACGGAATGTGCTTTATTCCAATCTATATCTCGCTAACACGTAGCCGTTTTAAAAACCTTAAAACCTTTCTGCTAATAGTCCCATTTATAGTAGCCTGTTTGTCAACACGTAGAAACTACTTCCTGTAGATCAGGTATCCAGTTCTTTAAGTGGCATGCTGTCCTTCATTTTGATACCTGGTGCCTAACCTCAAGATTCGACGTTTTTCTTCGATAACTGGAAACTGTAACATTCCTTTAACTCTGAGTTTGTTCGAATTCCGAGTTAAAATGCTGTAGATGGGAAGTGGGCATAAATCAACTGGCGGAATTATCTCATGGATGTCGTCACCAGTTTACCAGATTGAACAGAACAGCCTCGGCTACCACAGACGGCTTATATATATATGATTATCACCGTAATTTGTGATTCGTTTCTGTTGCTGTCATGGACTAGGAAGTTGACTGTACGTCTCATTGACGTGAATATAAGCCTCAAATATTAATTCATTGCACGAGTTTTTAATAGAATGGAATACTGGAGATCATGTGAATGTTTATCTGGTATGTATGATAATTATATCTCACAGAATTAATTTCGTGATATAGCAGTTTTTACATGTTTGTTTATAGTACTATATTTCGTGTTCTTTCCGTCCTTTTCTGTTCTAAATAACATATGTAAATGTTTTTTCCCGTGATGATTAAAAGGTCAATTAAGATAAATTAAGGCCATGCCTTAAACTTTTAATTCCAGGTCAATACTAATAACGTGGTCTTATACTATATATATAAACCACTTGTTTCGAATGCTAGCAGTTATTTATATTTTACAACTGAATAAGTGCGCTATCATTGTTCACCTTAAGTATGACAATTTGTTATTGTATGTTAGAAACAACTTTATTGATTATGTACAAGTAGAATTACCTAAGTAAAATGTATTGTCTCAGTTAACAACCATCTTGCTTTCATTACTGTCGTCATCCTGTGAGAGTCTTTGTACTGTAGCGTGGTGTCGAGTCGCGGCCGACTATGATCACCACTACAAGGAGATCGCGTACCAGATATCAGAAGGCGATTGGAAGTTGTAGCGATATATATTTGTTGGCAATCCCGTGGTATCGAAAGAATACCGAGATCGTGCCAAAAGAGTACAAACGGAATCACTGAGCAAACGTAAGTGCGTGCAAGGTTACAATCAAAGGAAGGAAGAATGTCTTTAGTACAGTTAAATAAACAAATACAATAAAACAATCACTGGTACAATTGGTTATAAAAATTGTTTCCATTAAACCAGTCGCGTTCTCTTGATAAAAGTAGGTCACTACAATACTGTGTTGTTTAGTGTACAAGCATAGTGACTGGTGATGTCAGTCGGTCAATGTTCTTGGTAGCATATCAAACGGATTTACAATTAGACACAGTTAATACGCCGATTTACGACATTGTCAGTATTTTCGATTAATTCACACGATATTCTATGTGGTCAACTTTCGAGATGTAAGTTCGTGACTGATAAGCCTGCTACTGGAAATGCTTATTAATAACTTCCTAACCGCATCCTACAACCCCAGACTACTTCTGTACGTTAAGTCGAACAAAAGATAAAATAAGTGTAAGGGATTTATTCGAAGACTAGTTTGTGTACAGAAAATCGAGAGTATTTATAAAGTAGCATGTGTTCTTGGTCTTTTAGAAATTTCTAGAAAACTAATATAGTAATGGTATAATTAGTTATCCAATCAAAAACGTAACATGTAATCGCCCATTTTCTACATATTTCTGAGAAGCAGAGAATAATGGGCGAATACATGTTACGTTTTTGATTGGATAATTAATTATACCATTACTATATTATTTTTCTAGAAATTTCTAAAAGACCAAGAACACATGCTACTTTATAAATACTCTCGATTTTCTGTACACAAACTAGTCTTCGAATTAAGCCCTTACACTCCACTTCTTTTCTCTTTTGTTCAATTATCGACTTAGAATACCCAGATATAGTGCTGTTTAGTGAAGACGCTGATAAAATGCAGAGTCTTTTGGTAGCACTGAGCAACAATGTCAGAATGTTCGGGATGCGCTTCTCCCCTCTAAGTGTGAATTTTTGCTTCAGAACTGGCCTGTATCAACACTTGAACTAAGGATAGGGAGTGAAGTAGTCGAACGCGTTGACAACACTTATCTTGGAAGTCTGACGAGCCTATGGCGAAGGTGAGATATCCGTCTATCAATTAAGGGACGAGTGTACTGCGCAGCAGTTCGTTCTGTTCTACTTTACGGCTGCGAAACATGGCCATTAAGAGTAGAAGATACTCGTAAGCTACTAGTGTTTGACCGCAGATGCCTTAGAAATATTGCTTGCATCTACTGGGTTCACTGGGTAAGTAATAGTGAGGTTAGACGTAGGGTATTAGGGAATGATAGTAAATCAGTTGATGAGGTTGTAAATCTTCATCGACTGAGATGGTTGGGCCACGTGTTACGTATGCCTGAACACGAATTACCACGACGCGCAATGCTGACTAGTGTTGGGGATGGTTGGAAGAAAGTTAGGGGAAGCCAAACCAAAACGTGGCATCAATGCTTGAAGTCACTAAATTCTAGTCTGAGCCATGTTGGTAGATGCAAACTACTTGGTTGGGGTCCGCGTGACTATCGTAACCAATGGTTGGAGACTGTGAGTGACATGTATTATTATTTATTCCTTTTATGCAATCTTCCTTTTATGTATTACCACTACTGAACTAACTACTTCTATGAATCCAGTGTTCATGTTGTTGTACTAATGAGGTATGGCAACTTGGACGGATGCAAATATGTGTCTGGTCCTACGTTGTAGCTGACTGACTGACTGATTTCTGAGAAGCGTATATTCAATTCTGATTGGGCAAAACCTTTTCTGGCGTTTTCTGTGTTTTTTAACTCCCCAACGGTGACTACTCTACTGGTTTCATTTTCTATCTATTAGTCTTTAATGGATACTTGTTTTCACAACCTTTCTATAACTTAGTGTATTTTATTAAAAAGTATTATATTTTATTTTGACAAATTATGAAATTCATATTTATTGTTATTTCTTAATGTTAAGAACAAGCAATATAATACTAGTAAACAATCTTGTCAAAATAATGCAATAAATTCTCTGCTTACATCCAAAACAAGTTTGTCATCATCATCGATAATTGGCTCGCATAAATTACATCAAAGTAGTCAAAATATTCCATTGATTGGTCTGCGCTCCAATTCCAACTTGACTATATCATCATTGTCAACAGTTCAAAGCCGTCATATTGTCGAGTCCAGTTCTACAAGTGCATTGTCCAATCAAAATGTTTCAAAGCCAAGTCGATCTCGACCTAGACGTTTTGCAAATCTTTACAGCGTAAGTGTTAAACAGTTAGTTATTTTGTGTTATTATCAATGCCAACTTGTTATTATAATATGTGAATGTGAGAATTATGGTAGTATGATTATATGTAGTCATTTTTTCCCTTATATTTCCAAGTGAAATTTAGCATTTTCGAAATGATAATAAATTCTTCGTTATATAAAGGTAAATTTTCTCATTTTAAACAGTATACTACTCTCTTAATCAATATATTAAACAAAGAGCCAACTATTTCATGTACATGGTTGTATAACTATTCGTTTGTTAGTTTATATTTTATAGATTATCACTGTAATGTATGACTTTTTCACCGATTATGTATTAGTGTAATTTCAATGGACATAAGTTACAGCCATGACGTTTATTCACTCATGTTTGAAGAACTATTAAGGTTGTAGTAAACTTAACATATTATAAGTAGTATATAAATAAGATCTAATCAGTATTCTATCTTATTCTATTACTCATATTTAACAATGATAAATTCAATATTGATTTCAGTGGCACAATAATCGTCCAAAAAATTTTAATTCTTCCAAAGAAGGACTAGCAGCTTAAGGCCTACACATATGGACAAATTCAAATAGTATTAATAGGAGATGGAATACAATTAGCTGTCCCATGGCAACTAATAATTAATAAATAAACCTGAACTTCTTATTCCATCTTATTTATTACTTATTATCTCAATAAAAACAATTACATTCAACTGTTCTAAGTAGTTGTTTTATCTGAATATATTAAACAATTAACTGGAACAATAAAAATAACACAAACATCTATACCTTCATTTTTATTCTGTTTATTTGTCTTCATTTTATACATGCTGTGACATATTTGATTCATATCATATATAAAATTTGTATATTTTCTTGAGAATTCACCGACCAGAGGCAATATATAATGAATGAAATTTCTCACACCTCAGATCCACTTGCGAATATACACAATCTGTTATATTAACATGTCTCTTACACACTATAGCAAATACCTACTTTGAACATTGTTAATGTCGATTGGATGACCTATTTAGTACAAACTTGACCGGAGAACTATGTATGTATTTATATTCGATAATTTTGTTGTTTCATTATATTTCCTGGAAAAGTCAGTCAGTAACAACGTAGAACTTCGTAAGTACGTACATCAGTTTGAGTTGTCATATCACATTGGTACAGAGATGCAGTTGCCGATTCAAATCCCGCAGTGGTAGAGGTAGTAAGAGTATAAGCAGTAATCGGAAAGATTAGGGTTTGAAGATGTTATTCAAAGAGTATAATACAGTGAAATAAATTTGGAAATAGGAGAAAAGGGACATGACAAACTCAGAAGATTAGAATTTGGGAGAGCACAAAGAGTGGATGCACCTGCGCCATTGCAAACGATTTTGAGCTTTGTCATTCAAGGTCTCTAACCATCGGTTGCTATCGTCTCGCGGATCCCAACCAGGTAGTTTATACCTACCAACATGGCTCAGTCCACTTGTCAGTGACTTCATGGATTTGTGCCATGTTTTGGTCTAGCCTCCCCTAGCTTTCTTCGAACCTGCTCCTACACCAGAAAACATCGCACGTCGGGGCAGTCGGTCGTTGGGCATACGTAACACATGTTCCAGCCATCTTAACTGATGCAGTTTTACTACTACATCAATTGATTTGCCATCCTTACCTAGTACCCGTTTCCTAACAACTGAGTTACTTACTTGATGGTCCCAAGATATACGAGCAATGTTTCGAAGACACTTATGATCGAATACTAGTAACCTACGAATATCCTCTACTCTTACCGGCCATGTTTCACTGCCATAGAGTGAGGTAGAACGAACTGCTGCACAGTAAACACGTCCTTTGGTTGATAGACGGATATCTCGCCTACTTCATAAATGACGCAAGTTGGTAAAAGCTAGTCGAGCCTTCTGTATCTGTGCTGAGGTTTCGTCACACACCAGACCACAAGGGCTGATGAGACTTCCAAGATAAGTGAAGCGGTCGACAGGCTCAACTACTTCATTCCCTATCACTAGTTCGGGTGTCGATGCAACCCAATCCTGAAGCAAGATTTCGCATTTCGAGGGGGAGAATCGCATCCCGAACATGCTTGCATTGTTGCTTAGAGTGGTCAGAATACTCTGTATTTTGTCAGCATCTTCATTAAATAGGACTATGTCATCTGCATATTCTAAGTCAAAAAGTAAATCTCTTGGTAAAAGTTCAACTCTTGGAAATTCAGATGAGGAAAGTGTCATCTCTAAAAGCACATCAACGACAAAGTTGAAGAAGAATGGAGAGAGTGGACAGCCCTGACGAACACCACTTGATGTAATCAATTCTGATGACAGTTGACCATAAGCTCTCATTCGGTCAGTTGTGTTCGAGTAGAGAGCCTTTATAAGGTTAATGTACGTCTGAGGTACTCCTTTCAGTGACAAACACTGCCACAGAACCTCACGATCAACAGAGTCGAATGCCGCCCTAAGGTCGAGAAATACTACCATTGTGGGGCGTCTGAATGTGTGTCTGTGTTCTAGAACCTGACGTAGTGTGAATATCTGGTCTATACCTCCACGTCCAGGTCGTAAACCAGCCTGGTTTTCTCTAGTCTGCTCTTCACGAACTTTGGTAAGGCATCGATGTATTATTGAAGCCATTATTTTAGACACTGATAGTCAAATTGATTTTTTTCCTTTCTTATAAAGTGGCACACTTAGTGATTGAGACCAGTCAGATGGGATTACGTCCAGTTCTCAGATTCTACCTAAGACCCTAGTCAATCTCACTACTAATACTGGATCGCTCTCCTTAGAAATCTCAGGGGAAAACCTGTCAGGGCCTGTTGCTCTCCCTCACTTCAGATTTCCTGTAGCTTTTTTCCTCTGTCTTTTCCATGTCTTTTGCTTTCGCTACCCACCACTATACGGGACCATTGCGTAGGCTTCTTATCAACCTGCGCCTATGCTGATTCCACTATTCGTCATGTTCAGAGCCAGATGGGATGAGTTTTCGGGCATCTATCAGTGCGGTCGACGCTGCTGAGATCCAGCATTTCTCCCTGACCTTATGGCTTACCGTACCAACAGATACCATTGCTGTTTTCACAGCTTTTCGGATATCATTCCAAGCTGCCTCGGGGTGGGCATCACTTACATGGCTGCCTAACTGTTTTTCTAGTTTTTCCTGAAATATACTCTTAGCTTGACTATCATTAAGTAGGCCCCTAAGAAGTTTCCTTGCAGCGTCTTTCCTACGTCCAGTAAGACGCAGACAAATACGCGCTCATACTAGAGCATAATCTGAATTTCCTAGAAAAAGCTTAGACCAGATTGCCAGGCGAAAACCTTGGAATTACTACGTATTCATTCGGTGAGATTTTACAAATACCTTCTTCCTCTTTAATGTCTTAAATTATTTACGTCTTAAGGGAGGTCATTAACAGACCTATCAGTCTCGCGCTAAGCGCTTAACCAACTAGACCACTGAGCTGGCATCCTGTGGTGTTAATGTCTAGCTTCAACCAATCCACGAAGTTGCGCTACCGTATACCATTGTCTTCAGTGAGCTGATATCTCACAACAGACCTGGTTGAACTCCATAGGTCATGGCTTCTCACTAGAACTCCCTTATTTATTTGAACAGTTAGTTATTCAGTATGTACAGATCATCTTTTTAAATAAGAATATTGCTAAATTGTAGTTTTTCAACTGCATTGTTTATTTATCATTTAACAGCTGAGCAATAGATGGAGTGGATTTAATAGTATCAATGGTTATAATTTATAGGATTTCTCAGACATATTTTTATTTATTTATTTATTTGGACACATGAATATTGGTACAGGAGAGCGCCAATATATATGCGCCACACAAAACAATGAAAATTCGAGAGGAATACAAAGAAAGAAAAAAAAAGCTAAGGAGCGCAACAAAAAAAAAGAGAGAACAATAACGAAGAGATTGGTGTAAGGTAATGTGCTAGTAATCAGGGAACGCAAAGGTACAATCGGAAGAAATCTTTCAGGTAAGGGAGACAGAACCACTTTTTATGAAGAAAGTAAAAGAAGGTTACAGCAGGATCGCCACTGGCTTCTATTCTGAGCCATATTTGATAACGTCTCTAGCCACTGTGTGGCACCATCTCTCAGACTCCAACCAGGGAGTCGTGAAGGACCAACACAAGCCAGTCCTTTGCAGCTTTCTTTCATGCCGCGACACCATGTCATGCACTGACCACCTCTCCGCTTCTTCCAACCAGTCCCAGAGTCGGCAAATAATGCACGACGTGGAATTCTCTGGGACGACATTCGGAGAACATGTCCAAGCCACCGAAGTCGGTGTTTCAAGATGGTGACACCAATTGAATTATCATCTCTGTGCCCGAACACACGATGCCGAACCTCTGCATTACTGACATGGTGTTGCCACTGGATGTCAGCAATCCTTCGGAGACAGCGATGATCGAACACAGAGAGTCGTCTAACGTCCTCAACTCGGAGAGGCCAGGTTTCACAAGCATAGAGCAAAACTGCTCTCACCGATGCGTTGTAGATCCGACCTTTTACAGCCAGACTGACATCACGAAGGGGCCAAAGATGGCCCAGATTGGCATAAGCCGCTCTGGCTTTCACTATTCGTGCATTGATCTCATCACTCACACCCCCACCAGCACTTATGCAGCTACCCAGATACACGAACTTCTCGACTACGTCTATCTGCTCACCATCCAGGGTGAGTATAGGATTGGAATCCTGCCAGTCTTGTAGGAGTACTTTGCACTTCGAAGGTGCAAAGCACATACCATACCTACGGACACTGATTGCCAACTGATTAAGTGCGGATTGCATGCCTTGGGCATTATCGCACAGTAAGACAATATCGTCCGCATACTCAAGGTCGAGAAGTCTTTCTCCAGGCAACAGATCCACACCACCATTACTTACATTCATCAGAGCTGTTTCCAGAATGTCATCGATGGCAAAGCTGAAGAGGAATGGTGAGATTG